TGTCACTGGGATAGCAAGAGGCGTAAGTGCTGCAATTGGCATTGCAGCAACAGTTGTGTACCCCATCGTTGAACCTCGCATCGGCACACTTAGAACAGGAATTTGGTCTATCTGGTCCCAGGTACAAGCACATCTATATTTTTCTTTTCATCTGTACACCTGATAATGGACTATACAACAGAACATGGGATAGCCTGATCCTTTCTCGAATCTCTCTCACCTGCCTCAAGAGGTTCAAACCTAAGACCTACAACTCAGAGTTTCAAACTCTTACCAATTGAGACATGTCTTAGGTGCTATAAGCATAATATGTAGACTTGTATGGCAAACATGGAGAGGGAGTCTTAATTGATATTTTCCCTGATGCAGTGGACCTGCCTATTGCTATGTGTTGCTTCGATATGGTTCACAAATAAGTACTTAGCAGCGTCTATGCTGATGGGTGGTGTAGCGACATCTAGACTTGGGTTGTGGATGTTTGATTTAGCTGTCATACAACAAATGCAGGTAGAAAAACAAACATTGAACTTTTGTTTTAACAAAATTCTTTCTTTCAATTAGACTAGTTCTTCGGCCTTATCTTTCTCTTCATTTTTCCCTGTCAAGGATCTTGTTCCAGAAACGGAACGTTGCATTGTGGGAGGTGTTCAGAACTCACTTCAGTCTAGTATGGATTTGCTGGCTTATGTCATGGGAATAATAATCTCGAAACCACAGGTAATTTTCATCTGTGATGAACATCTCCAATGTGCATGTTTGAGTGTTTGAAAATTAACTCGGCTAGTTCTGATAGTCACATTGTTGTTCAGGATTTCTGGAAGCTGAATTTGATGTCTTGTTTAGCAGTAACGATTGCTGCGGTGCTCTACACTTATCATCTGTTCAGAGTTAGGAGGCATCTTTTCCACTTTGAGAAGCTGCGGTTGTTGAATCAGCTATTTGTAATAAGATGATCATTTTTATTTGCTACTTTCTCTTTATTTCTTGTTAAAATTTGTAAGCTCATCTGAAAACACATACTGAAACTGAATGAAGTTTGTCTAAAAGGGGCAGTGCTGGCGGCACTTGGTTACGTTTCGTTTTAATTTTTCCTACTTACAAATAAAAAGTTCGAATTATATTTTGATCTTCATTTAGTGAATAACTAGTAACAAGAAGTTTCCAGTGGATGTCAAAAATGAGTAATGTAGCATATATAGGTCAAGATTGATGGGATGTGCTTCCCCAGTTTGTGGTGACTTGGTTGTCCTTGTAACTGAAGAGGAGGGCCACGCATTGCACTATAGTGGTTTCTACTGAGATTCTCACCCATTCAATCACATCAAATTTATAAAAATTATACACACAAATTTTTTATTATACATCCTATGTGAAATTTTTAATAATAAAATCTTCAAAACAAAATCAAAATTAAACATTATACATATAATCTTTAGCATATAATTTATATTTAATTTAAAATTAATTAATAATATATAAAATAACTCTTTTCATATATAACTTATAAATTTTTTCGTTATATGCTTGATTGTGTTTAAGCGACGGCTCATGATGATCATATATATATATATATTTTTTTTTGGAGGAAGCTCATGGTGATCATTTTTATCTAAAAGACTTTAGCAGCTAAGCAAATAATAGCGAGTGGAGTCCTCTGGTCAATGAAAAAGACCCCGTGATTAGCAAATAAAACAATTTTGGTAGGTGTCAAATTATAATTGGGTTGCTATGGAGGATTGGAACAAGACTCCATGCAAAGAGAGAAAAAATTGGCAGTATTAACTTCTCTTGATGAATTTTGTTGGTATTTGATTGATTGATGCAACCTACACTTTTCCCCACAGAATACGTTAATCTGGTTGCCTTTTACGACCAGCATATATCTACTTAAAATATTAATAATATTAATAGAAAAGTAAAAATTAACACATGAATCATTTGAGTTAATTGTCATCTTATAAGTTTGAGGTACATTTTTTTTATGGATGAGTTTTCAACCTGTTTTTTGATAATTTGTTCAAACAAAAAAAAGAGTAAAAATTAAGAGTATTAAAATTTTTTAATTATAATGATTAAATATATAAAATACAATATCAATTTTAATTTTATCACTCTTAATTTTATTATATTTATCATGTAATTAATATTAAAATTTTGTAACATTTTTAATGTTACAATCAACTTGATCACAACTATCATATGGTTATCATTAAAAATTTTAATATTTTTCTTTTTTTAATTATTAAACTATAAATTGAAAATAATATTTAATGATAAAAAATATAATCTCGAAATAGGTGTCAATTAACAAAAAAATATTGTTTTGATGTCATTGAATTGAAAAAAAGATTTCTTAATATTGAAATTATCCTTTATTCAATTATTTATATTTTTTAATTTTTTAAAACATTTTTATATTTATATTTGATAATTTGCTGCATGTTAACGTCGAAGAACTCATAAAATAATCCTTAACACGGAACTAATATTAGGACAACAGTGTCACCATGACCTTCCTCGGATACGAACAAGTAAATACCACGATGAAAAAAAAACAATGCTTAAAAATGTCCATCAGTGACGTTGCTCTCGTCTGCCTCCTTTAGTCGTCCCGTACGTACCGTCACCAAGTGCACTCCTAAGATTAACTTAATTTAATATATTTTATTAAAAGTTTTTTGTGTCTTTGGAAAGTTTGATAAACACCTTTACCTAATCTATATTTGGTTTCTGGTAACTTAATCCCCCTAATAAATCTTCATTAGGTGCATTTCCTTCGTTTCTGGTTCTATGTTATTGTGAAAAAACTCTTTAGTTAAATTATACGTTATGCCTAAAGTTTTCACATGATATTTCAATTTATTAAAAAAATTATATTTTTGACGTATTTAAGCATAAAATAATTGACATAATTAAAAAAAAATTCTCTAACGTGATGTAGGAGAATAGGAGCCTCTAACATGTACCAATATTATTTTATTGATTAAGAATACAATTAATGCATGATGAGTAGCATAAGCCACAAAAATATGTTAATTTTAAAACTCCCTTTTTGTGAAGTCAAAAAGTAGAATTAATCACCGCCGGATAATGGATGGAGGCATTTCTAATTATTCTCCACGCCAGAAGAACTATCCAGGACACAAAGTATTGTACATATATAACCTAGGTAGTGCAAAGAATATTTGCGATTTTATTTGATTCTGGGGCAGGAATAATCGAGCTATTCACTAGAGTGGGGAAAATTTAATGTAATTTACTAATTGAATTACAAGTGCAGGAACAAGAATATCTGCTTTTGTGAGGCGAAGGAGTGAAGATCTATATCAATTAAAAAATACTAAATAAAAGATTATGCAGTTGAATTTCATGAGATTGTGTTTTGAATAATAAATAAATTATATAGGTATCCAATTGAAAAGGTGGCAGAATATAATGGGCATCTTTAAATAAAAGCAAAGTTTTGACAAAAGTGCGAAGTGAGCAACGCAGCCAATGCCGAAGAACTCCCTTTACCCAAAAAAAAACTTTATCTATTTCGTAGTTTAGATCGTACAATAAAAATTAATAGATAAGGATTCATCTTTAATGTTACGGGTAAACTCTTATTTAATAATTTAAGTGATATAATATAATTTGTTTTGTAATTTATATTATAAAATAAAAATTATTAAATAAAAAAACACCGTTACACTGTATATACAGTTCGTTTGTCT